AAAGAAAAATTAGTCTGTGATCAAGTCACATGGATTCCCTTGTCAAAGCTGATCTTAAAATTCTTAAAGTATTAAAAATGATAACATAAATTACATATGAAAGTAGAAAATAATAATAGCTTAATTTTTTTGTTTTAAGAATATTCAGTCTTCACATATTTTCTGTATGACTAAATACTCATCATTTTAGTATACAGAGATTGGATAAATAGTGCTTGATTCTTTATATCCTGTTTCATTTTCTTTTATTACTGTCAGATATAAAAATTAGGCCACTTGGTTCAATGAAAAAAAAAAAAAGCTCATGTAGAAGCATCTGAGATGCTTGTCTCAATCATATATAATAAATTTAAAATATCAATTTATCATATATAAACTCTAGAAGGCAAAATTACTTTGCTTTTGTAAAGGTTTTTCAAGTTGTCATTTAGGGTATCCAGAAAATCTATAAAGCATAGACTTTTATGTACTAACAAAGGCCAACTGGGGTAGTTGTGTGAATTCACCTTTTCTCCTATTTTAACCAGTTGTGTATATATGACCTTCAGTCAGATGCTTTTCAGTGAACATATTGTTTCTTTTTAAATCTGTGTACTAAGTCCTTTACCAGGAAATGACAAAGTTGTTCTTATCCTTACCATAAAGAAGCCATCAGGGTCATTTGTGGAGTCTTTTGAGCTCAGAATGCATACGTCACAAAATAGAAGATAGTTAGCACCCTCATTAATCTGCCCCACAATTTTGGCCTAAAGTATTCTGGGAATACTCCAGTTAGGTAAAATATATTAAAGGTTTTTCCCTCTTTGTAGGGGCTGCTCAAGCTGTATTGTGGAATAGGGAAAAGGAAAAAGAATACATTGAGCTGAGCACTTTAATACCTCTGAGAACTCACGTACATGGGGGAGCAGAGGCACAGGAGCAGGGATGCATGTATTATAGTCAGATAATTTGGCAAGCAGGGCTTCTAGGCCTGTCCTTTCTCCCCGCTTCTGAGTCTGAGATGAGGTATGCAGAAGCAGCAAGCCAGCCAGTTACAGAGGACCCCCTTTCTCTCCTGACCCACCTGGGCCCCCAGATCACTGTCTCTTAACCTGTACAGTATCTTCTCCTCCACTCTGTGCTTCCCTCAGCCTACAAGGAGAACCTTTAGTCTCTCTGGCTATTTCTTTTGTTCCACTTCGTTCTCATTCACTATTCCTCCTCCTCACCTTGACACAGACTTGGTCATTTAGGAAAGCTAGGCTCCCTGGAATCCTGACCAAGTGCTTAAAAGTAAATAAAATGGAAAAACAAATCAGTTGAGAAGATGCGTAAAGAGGGAGGAACACTTAGCACATCTCCTACGGGACTTTTCCCAGAAGAATCAGCACTTCTCTTTTGATCATTAAAGCTTCTTCTATGATCACTCATTTAAAAGGCCAGCTGAAACCTTTGGATACATAGAGGCTAGGGATCTGTCTGGTCAGGTGGTTCCTCTACCAGGGTAGGGGTATAAGAATAAGGGACTGAGATAGCATGGGGCAGGTTCAGGTTTGAATGATGCTATCACCTATAGTGTGTATATCAAATATATGTGTTATAGTAGTCTCCTGCTTCAGGATCTGGTTCTCCCATATCATTACAAGCCAAGCTGGTGTTGTATGTAGGCAGTCAAATACATAAAGTAAGAATAGTGGTAGTGTGAGCTTTGTTATCCTTAGCCACTCTCCATGTACTTCAGTTCTGACCAGGAGAGAACAACTCCAGAGGCCTGGTCTACCTGAACTACTCAGATCTGACTAGTTACTAGTGCAATGATTTCAAGAACAATGACTGTAGCCCTTAACAAATGAAAGGCTATTAGGTGGATGTGTAAATATCTATTCAGACAATGTTAATCAGCATGCCATTCCTTGACTACATTTTGCTCCACATGATCAAGCACCAAGATCAGAATAAAAAAAGACTCATGAGATGTCTATGGCAGAGATCAAAATAACAAAATAGTGAAAGGACCCCTCAAGAGATGTTATCACCCTGAAAGCTACTGACTGTCACAGCCTGGCTCTGTATCCAGTGGATTCCTGGCCTTCCTGGTAAATGGGCTACAAGGAGGAAAACCTCAGATTCACTCCCATCACCTCCTACTGGACGCCAGCATCCATCTGTGAAGACACTGAATAGTGAACCATTTCAGGTTTTAAGTACTGTCCTTTGTGAAATTTACATTTTTTTATACAATTTTATTATTCAATGTGATTTTTTCCAAAAAAAATTTTTTTTAACTGTTCAGCTATTAGCATATTTTGTGGAGTGGGAGGGTAGATAATTTTTTTCTTTTAAAGAGAATAATAAAAAAGAACAATAGCAAAATACCAACAACATAGACAAAAACAAAACAAAGCAAAACAATAAAAATGATGCAGAGTTTCAGAACATTATGTGGTTTTTTTTGTTTCTCGTTGAAATATAATTTCTGTAACATCAAGAGTTTTGCTGTTGTACAAAGAAAAACTAACACATGCATATATCCATATATAAATGCATTTATACCAGCAGGTCAAATAATCAAAGGCTTTTGTTCTTAGCCCAGAACAACACTTAGATTTAAGTATCATTATAAGAAATAATATAACTCTAAGAGTAATTTTGCTTGATCTCAGTGACAGTGAACGTGTGAAAGAAAATGCTGGCTACTATTACTAGCCCTTACTTTGTTGTGGAAATACTTAATGCTTAAAAACTTTGCACGTAGCATGGTGTCCTGGACAGGGCAAGGGCTCAACAATTTTCTTGCAGGATTCATAATGATCTTGGCCCTGTATCAGAGCTTCTGTGACAAACTACTGAAACCTCCAAGAGCAGGCAGCTTCAGAAAGATTTGGAGTAAGGTGCTTCTGCAGTGCAGTAGGATGTATGACATGTACGATTTTCATCTTTTCTACATTAATTTGTTATCGATCGTGTAGAGATGGCCGAGTATGCTTTTCAGAGTGGTGTGCTTAATATTGGAGAGGATCCTAAGAAATTGCAGATTTCTCAATATGGTATTCTAATTAAAAACTCATTAGCAATTCACAGTGCTGGAACTTGGATTTTTAGCATAGAAATAATTTCACTCTGCATAGAAAGGAAAGATTTATTTTCTGGAGCTAGAATTTCAAAAATATAAGGCAGCACATGTGGAATTCAGAGGTGTTAAAAATCTTAAGTGTGGGTTTCTCCGTCGCTTTAAGCTTAAGCAGTTTTGTATAATCAGTGAGCATGCCAAACAGTATCAAAAAACTCATTTTCTTCAAGTGCTTTATTTATCTTTAATAGAACCTTCATCACCCTGGTGTTGTAAATTTGGAGTGTATGTTTGAGACGCCTGAAAGAGTGTTTGTTGTTATGGAGAAACTCCATGGAGACATGCTGGAGATGATCTTGTCAAGTGAAAAGGGCAGGTTGCCAGAGCACATAACGAAGTTTTTAATTACTCAGGTAAGAAATCAGTTAGAGACAGAAAAAAATAATATTTAATATCAAATGTTATCACTGTTTAACTACAGCTTTCTAGCCTTGTTGTTTAGTCTCCACCTACTATCTACACTGTGCTAGGAAAGGTTGCAGGGTCTTATTGTATTTTCTGAGCTTTATCTGTGTGATTCGGAGTGCGGCGCACCAAATTAGTGACATGTAAGCAAGCTCATGCGTTAAAACTCTTCCTGAAATTTTAAAGAGTGTATTGATTTAGTCCTGGCTCAATTAAAATCTTTAAGAATGCGTATCCCTGTTTCATATTGAAATCCTTTGTCTACGCCTGTGGAGATGGCAGTATGAGCACCATACTATGCTACTTCTTCCACTGGGGTTGCCTTAGCAACGTGCTCTGTTAATCTAACCCATTTCCAGGTCTTCAATGTAAAGGGCCTTGACCGGACATTGTGAGTTTTTTTCTTGGCCTTGTAACCTTATGCCCTGATAGAAAACATCTTGAAATTAATAGACTGACATGAAATTATTTTGGTGATTTTCTTCTTTTATAGATACTTGTGGCTTTGCGGCATCTTCATTTTAAAAATATCGTTCACTGTGACCTCAAGCCGGAAAACGTATTGTTAGCATCAGCTGACCCTTTCCCTCAGGCAAGTTGAAAAGCCTCTCAGCAAAAATCTAGTTGATAGCATCACTGCCTTCTATACAGCATCCTGTTATCTTCTTTTTCCCGCAGAACTTTAGTGTCATGTTCTTCATGGGTGTTTTCATCCATTTGTTACCTTGTTGTATTTTTAGGCTGTGGCTGTATCACTGGCTTCTTGATCTAGCCTGCTTTAATAACATACACCCGTGCCTTCTCAGTATCCTCATTGGCTTCTCCAGAACTGGCAGGCCTAGCCCAGTGTTGAAAGTTCTGGCATTGAGAGTGAGGGCAATTTAGAGGCCCAGAGATGCTTCCAGGTCTCCCTCCCCTTCCTCAACTAAGGGGGTGGGAAACAACCATCTCCCTCCTCAGGGAATGATGGATCTGAAGTGACCTAAGGTAGCTATCCTGCCTTGCAGCCCTGACCCCTTCAGGTGTCAGCTATCTGCCCACACAGAGCTAATTTTGAGCATTATTATGGATAGCATGATTCATCTCTCTCTGCTTCATCTTCATCTTTTTATTGTAAGCCCTTAAATCCATCACTGTCCCGATTAGCATATTTTCCTGACTTGTGAGCAATGTTACTGTCTTCTAAATATGCTTAGTTTCACGTTTGTCTCTCAAGTTTTGGGGAGAGAAAGGAGAAGTGTTTAACTACACCTGTTTTGAACAAAAACTTACTTTTGTATAGATATATACCCACTGTATCCATGAACATAAAAAAGTAGAACATAGCTATTTCTTCCACTATGAGAAACGCATATCATTCTGTTAAAGTACTGTTGTGGTTATCACTAGCAGACCTGAACTAACACAGACACAAACACATAATTATAATGAACTCATTCTTTCTGCAAACTCATATTGTCAACAGGTGAAACTTTGTGATTTTGGCTTTGCCCGGATCATTGGAGAGAAGTCTTTCCGGCGGTCCGTGGTGGGTACCCCAGCCTACCTGGCACCTGAGGTCCTAAGGAACAAGGGCTATAATCGCTCTCTGGACATGTGGTCAGTGGGGGTGATCATCTATGTAAGCCTAAGCGGCACATTTCCATTCAATGAAGATGAAGACATACATGACCAAATCCAGAACGCAGCTTTCATGTATCCACCGAATCCCTGGAAGGAAATCTCTCACGAAGGTAGTATCTTCCATTCAAAACTGATAAGTATTAAATTTTTAAGTGGTACAGTATTGTGAATCACTAAACTCATAAATGCTCTTTGTGCCTTGGAATGGAAACAATAATTGATAAAGTAGGCTGAGAAGTAAAGTAACTGGACACCAAAAATGTCTTATAAAGGAATTATGTGTCTGTATATTTACAGGATAAAGAAATGAGGAAATCTATATTAAGAGGTAATTGAAATAACCAGAGGAAATATATTCATATTTTGATATATTTTCTTAGAATTTATAATATTTATAGATTGATAAAATGATAATGAATCTTTAGTGAGGATATACTTACCGTGTTCCTAGTTTTTATGAAGCGATCTTAAAGCATTACAAACACGGGAACTTTATATTTTAATTTTCATGGCATATATATTAGTACAGCAAAGATTTGTCTTATTTCCTTTGTGTTACATTACAGCATGTGTATTTTATTTGGCCTCCTTGCAATTTTGGGGTTGCTTCAGTTCTTTCATATTAAAACATCCATATGTGTAATTTCTGTATGTTCATGATTACTTCTTTAGAGTAGATCACTTTGTCGATGTTGCATTAGCTAGAATTATATCCTTAATAAATATTTCTTTCCTCGGGGCTGGGGATTTAGCTCAGTGGCAAAGCGCCTGCCTGGCAAGTGCAAGGTCGTGAGTTCAGTTCCTGCTACTGGAGAAAAGCCAAAAACAAAAACATTTCTTTCCTCTTAAGGAAAAGGGATAGTTTGAAAAAAGACTGGTAGGGGCTAATTGGACAAAGAAGAAAAGAATTATGCAGTAAACATGCTTTGAAGTTCATTTAATACTCATAAAGTTAACATAAGATGATTTTTACCACTTTTACACCAATATTTCAAGGAAGAAAACTAAGGCAAAAGAATTGACAGTACAAGTTGGAAGAACAAAGCTGGTCAGGAGCAGAGGCAGAGCTCACCGGAGATAGTGGGGCCGTGTGTCCTTACACCTCTAGTGCTGTATCCGTGCCAGTTTCTAGGCAATGTCTAGTCCTAAATTGATTCTATTTGTTTAGATGTTCACCACTTAAAAATATATATATACATGTTCATAGGCAAACCTCTCTTCGATACCTGTTATTGCATGCATTGATATGAAAATGGGAAAATCATGTGGATAAACAGATAAGGCAGATTAAATTCCTAGATACAGTAAGTATTAAATAGCAAGATCTGTCTATTATCAGAGCTTAAGTTACCATTAGCAACAACCTTTAACATCCTCTAATTAGTTGTAAATCATACCTGGGTGGATATATAATAAAGGAATCTGTGGCCCACAAAAGAGCTATCATAAAGCCAAAGGAACAATTAAATATTTGGGATAATTCAACAAAGATGAAGGTGAAGTGCAATTATTTTTCTTTTCCAGAAGGCAGAAAAGAAAGCATTATTGAATAACTTTGCCACCAGTACTCTTGTTAGGAAACGTTACCTTGAAGCAGAGTTACCTTTATGCTTGATACCTCTAATCCAGAAATCCAGTAAAATAACTTGATACTGTTATCAAAGAATAAATCTAGAGTATTTCTAGAGCCAAACAGATAATTTCCTGTTATTATCACTGGTAATAGAGACCAGAGACATAGCCATCAAAGGTTCAAGAAGCAGTTGTTGAGAAATCACAATTTACTTACATCATAGGTAATGTGAAAGTAGAGAACAGAGATAAAATACATTTCAGGAATTTGGATGCTAATTAAGGAGATGAGTTATATACATCTGGAAAAATGCTAACTGATTTCCTTGAATTGTCAACTAGGTAAAAAAATCAGGGTATCCAAATTTGGAGGAGGGAGATTCACTATAGATTTGGATAGTCAGAATTGCCTTTTCAGGGGAGATGGAACCGAGCACTACCCCCTGAAGAATGAAAAGGCAGAAATGTAGCATTCTAGAGGGGAATGATACAGGATAATTCCAAAGGCAGTGATATTTGACTAGAAAATACATTTTACTTGATTATGGAAATGTCTGAGGGACAAAAATTTCCTCCCACTCGGACAAAGTGATGTGGAGACCAGTTCAGGTGGAAGGTAGGACCCTCAGTCTTCTAGAGGACTCTATCGGCTTGGGAGTTAGCTGTCATCTCTTCTCAGTGCCTTCTCATAGCTCATCCTTGCCTTTGAACACAGATTGTTCATAGCTGATAGACGCTCTGGTTGGCAGATAAGTGATCTAATCTGCTGCTGTATGAACAGTACTCATAATTGAACATAGAGAACACTAGTTAAATTATATCAGAATGTTAACTGAAGTGTTAGGAAAGTAGCCATTCTCAAGGACAAAGAATTCTGAGATTATGTATGCTATAATGGGAGAGTGATATATAATTTTAAACATGTGGAAGCTGACAAATATACAAGCAAAATTATTATCTGACAGTAATGGATACAGCTATATTAGAGCAGTTCTCATCCTAACAATACTTCAAACTACAAAATACTGAGAATCAATACTGAGGGGAAAAAAAAAATCTAGGCACTACCATGATTCTGAAGTCAAAGGTAAAGGTCATTCTTTGGTACAGCAGTTTGAGATACAGTCCCACCTGCCATTCTAGTTAGTCTTTCCTCGCCTACAAAACGGGACAATGATTCTTACAGAAGGAGGTCGTAATGAAGACTGAATGAAACAAAAGTTGTGAGTAGACTCTACAGAGGCAAATGTAAGGTCATGAAGGATTTCATTTATGAGGCAGACAACACTAAGCAGTTGCCCTGGCTAGTAACTATAAGTATAGAAACTTTGTGTCAACAGATGTACTTTCTTCCCTAATATTCTTCAGAGGTATTGCTAGTTGAACTTTTTTCTTGGCATGAAAAAAGCAAAAAGAAATTCTCTAAAGTCTTTGTAGCATGCATATGTGCATCAGAATGAGGGATTTCTTTATCATGTATTTTCCTCTGTTAGACCTGGACTTGATTGAACACCTTAGCAGTCCTGGAGCTGCTTGGTCCTCACAAAAACCCTAGGATATAATCTGCTTTAGTCTCTGCCTTATGGAGAAACCAGGAAGGTTTAGTGATTTACACTGAGTTACACTGTGACCTTGAAACTAAGGGCACAACTTGAAGTCATTTATTAATCTTCTTTCTTTGCACCATACATTGTTGTACACAAAAAGGTGCTTGTTTCTTATGGCTTCATATTTAGGAGCCTGTAGGTTTTCATAATCATTATTTCTTGATATGATAATATAATAAGCTAAGTACTGGCATCATGGAGAGATGTTTACAAATAATTTATCAGTGAGTTCATCAGGAATTTTGTGTTTAAATAACAGAAATGTATCTTCAGGCAAATAAGATAATATATGGACTCACACAACTGAGAAATCTGAAAGGTTAACCTCAGATTCAGCTGTATACTGTATTCTGTAGCATTTGCTCCATAGCTGAGCACTGCTCTAAACACTTTACATATATGGATTCATTTAACCAACCCCACCCTTTGTAGATACCATTGTTGTTTCCATTTTAGAGATGAGGTAATCCAGTCACTGAGGGTGAAGTGGCTTGCCTGGGTGAGCCAGGCTGCAGATCCTGTCAGCTGGCCGGAAAGTAGATTATCCACAACACTCATAGCTCCTTGATTGTCCTAAGAGATTTAGCCATCTTGCCACATTAATGTTTAAAGTGCTGTCATTAGCTCAGAGCTAGAGAAGCAATACAGTTTTTCTTAATCGCTACAGAAAATGGGGAAACGGGATCATCTGGAGTAAAGAATTGAATCGAGAGTCCAACCTTTTCATGTTTTGGTGACCTTACCCAAGTTATTCACTTAGGTCTCAGTTTCCTACCCTGAAACGTGCTGATATTAATTACATTTATATATATTTAATTACAGTTGATAGAATAACAAAGTTCTATATGTAATTATATGTCAGTACATCAGTGTGTGTGTGTATAAAAATGCATATCTAACAATAAAATACTCCAGTATGAGTCGTATGGTTGCAAACAGCTGCTTCCAAGGAGATTAGGTCATTATGGGGAGTTTGAGATCATATCAATTCATTCTAAGGCAGTGCTGAGTGTCCTTCAGTGTTTCACTTCATCACTGCTACTATCTGTGTGGCCATTTATCATCATCCAGTTTATCCATCGCTGCTGGTCAGTAGTGAGACATAGCCTCACAGTTATCTCTGTCATCGTCTCCTTCTGGGGGAGGGTTAGCACTGAGCACATTCTTAGTTCCCTGAAAGAACTTGCACACTTTAAAACAGTCATGTGACTTGGCAATATTATCTTATGTAAAAGGCAACCCATTGTCACAGTTTTCTAGGTGACCAGTTGAAAGCAGCGAAAACTGCACCTTATCTGATTTACCTGACTGGCATTTACCAATATGCTGTTCTTCATTCTTCACCGCATTACTTAGCATTCTAAAAGACTAAGACAGGCCAGGGTATCCTTCATTTGGTCACATCTAGCACATCCTAATGATAAATCCCAGATATTTCCAAATCCCTCAGGAAACTGCAAGGAAGTGGGTGCCAAGGATATAGAGTTTAGATATGGGGTATGGGAAAACTAGGTAATAATGAAAAAAGGAGTATTTGTAAGGCACAGGCTTTCTAATAATTTTGCCAGAGAAGCTATTATAGGTTATGGTTCATTTTAATTCTGTAATAGTCTAACTCGAGACCTATAGCAAACTTTTTTTTTTAACTTTGGCTTGCCAACATTTGATAAGAGAGCTGGTTTAACAGGAAGGTTTCCTGGCTCCACATCTGTAAATAGCCCTTCTGTGCTGGGAATTGAAGTAGTTCATGAATCACCCTTTAATACTGCGCTATATATACACATCAGATCTCCTGAAAGCCCTTACAGTTAGCTATGGAAAAAATCTTTGTGTTAAAATCCTGATATCCAAATACAGAAAAATTATAGAATTCCTCTCTCATTCTTAACATATTTTTGCATCCACATCATCTTTTTTTTATCATGGAAATA